TCTTTCCTTCTCTTTGAGAAGAGCTCCGTTTTCAAGCTGCTTGTGAAAGAGGTGGAAAGGGCAGAGAGAGGTTTTTCAGGAGCCTAGAGCAGTGCTGAAGCCAGGGAAGGGAGCATTCTGGTACTGGGCCTCTGGAAGAATAGGTACTAGGAGGCACACTAAATTTCACCAACCAGTACGCAGTACCAGTGCGTACCGGCTTAAACCCACCCCTGAAGCCGACAAGGGCAAACCACTTCTGAACATCTTGTCAAATCAACTACAGGGACTTGTCTTGAAGACTTGAAGCAACTCAACCCCCAACCAAAAAGAACCCCTAGCCATCCCTAGTGTGAAGATACCCTAAATTCCAACATAACACATTAATCACCTTACCACATTATTTGTCATACTAGTTTTTTCTCTAGATCTGTCTGCTTGAACATATTTACTATGACCGTCTGCTGAGTTCTTGTATCAGAAGCCAAACAGCAAGACTTCCAGAGCAAGCCATTCCCCAACAGATGTGGCACCTGAATGGTCCTTACAGTAAATCCAATGCCAACGGTTGCAGAGAAAGAGCCGGGGATGAATTTGCCCTGGTCAAACTGGACCAACAGTGACGTCTTCCCCACTCCGCTGTCTCCCACCAGGATGGTCTGCAGAAAATCAAACAGAAAACCAGATTAGCATTTTGGGACGAATAAGGAACCAAAGAAAAATTGGTGATGTTCCACCTGCTATATTATGCCCACTAGCCAAATAATCTCTGTTTCTGCAGAGAAACACAGACATGGATTTGAAACAGAATAACTGAGTTGGAAGGTACCTTGGAGGTCTTCTAGTCCAACCCCCTGCTCAGGCAGGAAACCTTGCACCATTTCAGACAAATGATTATCCAATCTCTTCTTTAAAAACCTCCAGTGTTGAAGCATCCACAACCTCTGGAGGCAAGTTGTTCCACTGATTAATTGCTCTAACTTTCAGGAAATTTCTCCTTATTTCTAGGTTGATATTGTCTTTGATTAGTTTCCATCCATTGTTTCTTGTTCTGCCTTCTAGTGGTTTGGAGAATAGGTCAACCCCCTCTTCTCTGTGGCAGCCTCTTAGATATTAGAAACAAATGAATGGCAGAGCAACTTAGGTTTCATTAGATACTGAACTAAAAATCATGCTTACATTTTTCAAGAATCAGTTTGTCTTCATTGCTCAGTAGCTCCTGAATCTTAACGACAGGGGTGTCCAACCTTGGCACCTTTAAGACTTGTGGACTTCAACTCCCAGAATTCCTCAGCCAGCCATACTAGGATCCCCCTCCTACCTTGAAAGTTTTCAATTAAAGGCTTTCAGTCAAGGACAGATTAAAGCCAATGGATGCCCAAAGCACAGGCCAACAATAGCGCCCCTCGGCTTTCCCATTGTTTCACTGACAAGTCATTAATGCTAATAAATGTTGAAGGTGAAATAAGAGATTAAAAATTAAAGCTTTCTTCCAGGCTATCCCCTAGACTGGATCCTGCAAATATATTAAATATATACTTTAAAAAAATAGCACTAAATATAGTAACCAAAAAAAGAAATTTATTTGTTTATAAGTAGGCCATAAGGGGAAAAAATACAGATTTTCAATACTTTTGAATGTCTGCTGAAATTAAATTGTTATATAAGGGGAGGAAATGCAAATATGAAAATGCACTGAAAATTTAAAGTTGAGTGTGGCAGTGAAAGAGTTAAGGCAGGCGTGTCAAACTGGCGGCCTGTGGGCGGGATGCATTATGCGCAGGCCACACCCATCCCAACTCCGCGAATGGGGAAAACATCACAAAAAGTCATGTGATGGCAATGTGATGCCATGAGTTTGATACCTGTGAGCTAAGGACATGATAACTGGGGGGGGGACTTTGGTGCTCCCCTTTCCTTTGTGAACTGAGTGTGGGCTTCATTTGTCTAATGGTTAATTTGGGGCTGCTTTTGGTGATCCATTCAAAATTAGCTAGCTCTACATACATTATATTCAGAATCAAGGTAAAAGGTCCAATATCAGAAAAAAAGAGAGTTTGGAGCTAGAATGCTACAACTACTTTAGAGGTTTTGTCTTGTTTTGTTTTAAAGGCGAACAGTTGTTCTGGGGAAAATAATATATAATTTATACGTTGGCAATAATTTTGTTAGAAACAATCAACACGATGGTACAGAGTTGCAGTTCATTTTTCTTAATTCACCTGAAAATGTTATCACATCAGATGGCAAAAAGTAATTTGGTTAAAAAAAAGTGCTGGAGATATTTGAAAGATAGCAAAGCAAATTGTTTTGGTTGACCCTAATAAGGATAATAACCAACAATAAATCTACTTTACTCAGCTACGGACCAATGAAGTATAAGTTATTGAAATATTTATCCATCTTTAAAGCAAGAGGGGGCTCTTTGGCAGTAATAATTCGAATTCCAGCAACTGAAAAGTTTACAGTGAATTAATTATAAATGTAGACTATGTTGGAAAATTATTATGGGTTATCCTCAGTTGGTTTGTACCAAGCCTCCTAGTCAGTCCCTTTATCCAGATCAGAGAAAGCACACACATTACTCGGTTTAGAAACCTAATATTTTTACTGTTGCCTTTTTGTTACAATTGTTGTATTTCCCAGTAAGGGAATGGCTAGCTGATGAGAGCTAAATAGCTTGAAATAGATCTATACTAGTCTCCCTTTATTTATTTATCAGCACAAATNCACTGTAGATTTGTGGAACCTCTTCTATAGAAGAGGTTAGAACTGGCAGGAACCTACCCCTGGTACTGGGGCCCCGACGACAACTACTCACAGGAATGAAAATGTAATTGGTTGATAAAATTAAACATTTATTTTATTGGCATGTTAGTATTAATTAAAAACAGCAGTAAAATGTAATAAATATGTTGCTGTATTTATATGATACAAGGTGCATTGAAGGGTTAACATATACAGATTAGTATGGGTCCCTGTGCTCTTGGGCCCATGGGCTCATCAGGCCCATGCCCTCCCCACAACATCTGGAGCCAAGCCATTCCACTAATTAATTTTTCTAACTGTCAGGAAATTTATCCTTAGTTCTAAGTTGCTTCTCTCCTTGATTAGTTTCCGTCCATTGTTTCTTGCTCTGCCCTCAGGTGCCTTGGAGAATAGCTTGACTCCCTTTTCTTTGTGGCAACCCTATCTCTCCTAAATGCAGAGAAAATATCAGATCAAGCTACCAAGAAGGCACATTTCACTAGAATGACAGGGGCAAAAAGCAATGGAGTCAGCCATTCAAAGTGGTAGTGGACTGCCCTTCATAGGAAGAGTTAGGTGGAGACTAGACACCCATCTGTCTGAGATGCTTCTATTTGGATTCCTGCATCGAGAAAAAAGTTGGATCTTTCTATGATACCTCAACTGAACTTTGAAGTTGCTCCTTCTATGATAACTCCTTGACGACATTTGCATGTTAATCCAAATGGTTTTCTTCTGGTTTAGAAACTTTTATGTTTTCTGGAAGCAATGCCATATCTTGACAAAATTTCATACCACTTTTGTCAATAGAGCAGCCTGTCAGGACTTGTGTGGTCTTTGTGAGAAGAAGTGCAGTTTTTGTTTGTTCATATTTTGTAGTTTCCCTTCCAGTTCAACTGTGTATGTCAATTATATATCTGCTTCCCCTATTCCACAATTTTGACTGTATTTTTTTTTTATTAAAGACCAACATTTCCTTTTTGTAATAATCTCACAATTAACAATTTTGCCACACTTAGCAAGAGAAAAAATAGCTTAACTAAAATTGCCCAGTAATTGCCACTAGGGGGAGATGTTGCACTTTAAAGCTCCTCCTTAGAATCAGTGTTGTGTTTTCTTTCTTTCTTTCTTTCTTTCTTTCTTTCTTTCTTTCTTTCTTTCTTTCTTTCTTTCTTTCTTTCTTTCTNTCTTTGTAATTAGCAATAGCAATAGCAGTTAGACTTATATACCGCTTCATAGGGCTTTCAGCCCTCTCTAAGCGGTTTACAGAGTCAGCATATTGCCTCCACAGTCTGGGTCCTCATTTCACTCACCTCAGAAGGATCTAAGGCTGAGTCAACCTTGAGCCGGTGAGATTTGAACCGCTGAACTGCAGTCAGCTGAAGTGGCCTGCAGTACTGCACTCTAACCACTGCGCCACCTCGGCTCTTATTCCAGTGTGTTGCAGGCTTATCGCAAAAGGTTTTTTTAAAATAAATAAATAAATAGCAGTTCCTTTTGGGCGCTGCTGAATTTCTGTCCTTGCAAATTGTGTAGATTGTTTGTGTGGGTGGCTTTCAGGGGAGTTGGATATGAAGCCTTTTCTACTGAAGATACTTTCTTGTCAAATTTCTAGAAAATCTGTTATTTGTCACCAAGCATGTTACTCCTTCTGCTCCTTTTTGCCAATAAAATGTGTTTATTTTCAACATACCTATAATATTTGCCTCCACCGTATCTACATAGAAACTGAAGTCCTCGGGTCTTCTGTACTTATTTTAAGTATTGCAAGTTAATACAGTTGGTAGCTGCAGACTCTTCATATTTTAGATCCCCCCTTTAGTATTTGCATATAATAAGATCTTCATGCTCCTCTGAATAGAGTATCTGCAGTCAGTGCTGCTGTCACAATCTTTCAGAAAGGGTAGGAAATGCTTACAGAATCAAAACAACTTCCACTTTCCAAAACTATGTTATTTTATTTTATTTTATTGTCATGTAAAGAAGCCTCTTAGTCCCTGGCTTTTCTCAGTGCAGAGAAAGTGGCTGTTTCCTAAATCGTGATTTTGCTGAAAAAGTTTCAGGATGATCACTCTGACGGCTGTATTTCCTTCCTTTTAATATTCAGACAAGATGCTCGAAAAACTGGAGCTGTAATTTATTGGTGGTAGACTTCTGCTTCCTCTTTCTTCATCATAAGCAAGAAGAATTCTCATAACTGGGTGGAAAAAGCAGAAGTAATGGTAAACCAATTTGCATTCAAGTATGCAAATGACAAGGGAAATTGCTTTTCTGAAGAGATATTTGATGGCAGTCAAACCATTAAGTAGAAGTTAAAGGAGAATGCGAGTGTGCAGTGAAGGACAGCATGCTACAGCAACACCTGACCGTGGGACTGTTCCTCCTTTCTGATCTCTTCCTAAAAGGTGAGAGATTTATATTAGTTTACACTAAGGGATCACCGCAGGGAGAGATAGTTGGATCCAGGTGTCTCAGCAAATTCCTAGAATGTGAGGCATCAGATAAGCCATAAAGGGGAGAGGTCCTCTAGTCCAACCTCCTGCTCAAGCAGGAGACTCTATACCATTTCAGACAAATGGTTGTCCAATCGCTGCTAAAAAAAAAACTTCTAGTGTTGGAGCATTCACAACTTCTGGAGGCACTTCTCTCTTTGATTACTTTCCATCCATTGCTTCTTGTTCTTCCTTCAGGTGCTTTGGAGAATAAGTTAACCCGCTCTTCTTTGTGGCAACCCCTTAGATATTGGAACACTGCTCTCATGTCTTTCTTTTCATTAAACTAGACATATCCAATTTCTGCAACGTTTCTTCATATGTTGTAACTTCCAGCCTCTTCATCATCTTAGTTGCTCTTTTCTGCACTCTTTCTAGAGTCTCCACATCTTTTTTACATCCTGGCAAGCAAAACTAGATACAATATTCCAAGTGTGGCCTTCCCAAGGCATTATAAAGTGCTATTAACACCTCATGTGATCTTGAATCTATCCCTCTGTTCATGCAGCCTAGGACTGTGTTGGCTTTTCTGGCAGCTGAAGCTCTTTGCTGGCTCATATTTAAGTGATTGTCCATTAGGACTCTTAAGATCCCTCTCACAGTTACTATTGAAGATTCCAAATAACTTTTTTTCCTGTAACTATACAAAGTGGTGTAAAATTCCACCCCAAAATATTTTATTTATGTTTTGAAAAAGTTTTATTTATTTATTTTCAATGTTAAAAATATAAACATTCCATAAACAGTGTGTCGTCCGGGTACAAATATTTCTCTGCAACATCCTTCCTCATTTCTGTAGAAAAATGTGAACAATTTATTTTCTTCCTTAATGTACTAGTAGCAACAGCAATCAACAGTCATTATGTGTGGAGATATAATGGACAGATGTTAGAAGAATTTCACTTCCAGAGAAACATTTGTTTTATTTCTTATGGGCAGCTATTTCCAAGGAGTTTAGATTAAACTGGATCACAAGCAGTATAGCTCTTTTTTTTTTTAAGGAAAAAGCATAAGAAATGGCAAGATCTGGGTGATTGAAATGAAGAATTTGAATAGCTGGTGTTGTTTCTTTGTGGTTGATCTGGAACTTTAAGCTACAGTTTTAAGCAACAGTGTCTGTTCCATTTTCTGAGAGGGTCAAACAGTGTAGGGAGAAGCAATTTTACTTGGAAAATGACCTTCCCTTCTAACAGCTCTCTGAACACCTTGTTAATGAAAACTAAATTATAGGCTTCTACTATATCAGTGATGGTGAACCTTTTTGGCACCAAGTGCATGCATGCTCACTCCAGAAAATGGAAGACCAGCTCTTCCAGTTTCTGGCACTGCCCCATGCACAAAGGCTAGTTGATCATCATGTGCGCATGCGTGCCAGAAACACGGAAGAGGAACGGGAGACGCTGTGCATGCCAGGCAACATGACTCTATGTGTCACTTTGGGCATGCGTACCATAAGTTCACACTCATGGTATTATATTGTTCTCGATAAGTACCAGCATTCAAATGTTTTCAAAGTATTAACTGGGAACCTTTTGAAGATAGCTTTTCATGAGAGTTACTGGCTTAGTCAAGACGTTAGCTCTTATTTTCTCTGACACTTTCATGAGGGAAGTTCTCTTGCTGGATACGGTTTGTGGTCTGCCTTTGTTCTCCTCAAGTTCTGCTTTTGGAGCCTTTTCACCTTCTAGCCCTGTAATTTGGTCAGTTCCGCTTCCATTCCAAATACTATTTTTTGTGGGCTTTTTACGGTTTTGTTTTGGAATTGCAGTAGTTTTGGATGGCTGAGTCAGCAATGTGACTGCAAAGTGTTTCTGGGTTGTAGATAACGGGATGGGGTTTGGCAGGGTGGCTAGTTAGGTGAATGTTGAAGTTCCTTATTTTGCTTGTCTCCAAATTATTGGTTCCACCAGGTTTCCAATTGCTGAGCATTGCTGCACCACATCTGTTCCAACTGCCAAACATCTCCAGTGTACTTGAAAAGCAACCTACGTGTTCCCCAGTTTGACTTCACCCTACACAGGCTCAGATATGGCTAGGGTGACTTTGGTTTGCTCTTTGAGCAGTGCCAGTCTTTCTGGATCCAGCCCTAGTTTACCAAGAGTTGAAATCTGAGAAGGGCAGCTGGTTGGCTGACTCTCCTGTCCACCAAATTGGACAGAATCTACTTCCCTTTTGCCAGCATTTTCAAGAAAACAATTCCACTTACTGTCCATTCTGTGAAGTATTTCATCTCAGCAAGCTGGCAAAGCATCTTACAAAACCTTTCCATGAATTTGGCCAAATGAAACCGAACTAGGAAGCAAAGTGCATGATAGTTGCCAACCTACAACCACAATTGAGCCCAACATTTCTGTTGCTAAGTGAAACATTTATTAAGTGAATTTTGCCCCATTTTAATGATCTTTATTGCCACAGTTATTAAATGAATCACTACAGTTGTTAAGTTAGTAACACAATTGTTAAGGGAATCTGGCTTCCTGGCCAGAGGTGGGCTGCTGCCGGTTCGCACCAGTTCGTGTGAACTGGTAGTTATTCTGCGTAGTTCGGCGAACTGGAAAATCCCACCACTGGCTGCCCCTGCCCCTGCTCATTTTTGGCCATTTTATGGGCCATTTAAGACCAATTTTGTGGGGCAAAAATGGCCCAAAACGGCCTGAAAATGGCCCAGAAATGGGAGGGCCAGTGGTGGAATTAGCCCCATCCGTCTGAATCCTACCTCTTTCTTTGAGGCGGGGCTGAGTGTGATGAGTGACATCACCCACCCAATCACATGATCAACTAGCCACGCCTACCCAGCCAGAGAACCGGTTGTTAAGTTATTCAAGTCCCACCACTGGCTTCCCCCACTGACTTTGCTGTAAGAAGGTGGCAAAAGGAGATCCTGGGATACTGCAACCATCACAAATATGAGTCAGTTGCTGCAATGGTCATAAGCATGAAAAATAATCACAAGTCACTATTTTCAGTAGTGTGTGGTAACTTTGAACGGCCATTAATGAATTGTAGTAAGTCAAGGACTTCCTATATGTGGCAGGTAGACAAAGGATCTCCTTCCCCCACCCTCCCAAATGAGGAATAACTTTGCCTGAATATAAATTTCTTTTCCATCAGGAGTGTAGAAAGGGGGGAGTCCAGGGTTCTGAAGTTGAAAAGAACCAAAGATATTCACAGTCTGGAATGGTCAGTGATAGTTTGTTGATGGTGTCACGTGATTGTTGGCTACATGTACCACAAGAAAGCTTGGTAAAATTACTATGTAGGAAACTTTATATTTGCTCTTGTCATTTCTAGTGGAAGGTGATTTTGAAGGTTTTTCTCTCAAACATTCACCTGTTCTAAAAACATATGTATAACCATCCCTTCTTTTCACCCTTCCTCTTGAGGCTAAGAAAGTATGATTCTCAGACAACTACATCACAGATTAGGATCATAGCCACATAACAGATTAGCTTTCATTGCTAATAAAGAGACAATGGAAGCTTTTTACTGAAATGACTTCCCCAAAAGGCAAAAACAAATGGGAAACATTATGTCTAATCGCTGTTTTATTATTAATTGATAAGGTGCATGGGATTGAAGCCCTTGTGTGTTGTAAAGAACGTGATTTTGGATATTCATAGCTGCACTTGCTTTACAGTAACTACATTAAAGGAACAAAAATAGCCTAAGCACAGGGCTCATCTACCATTTTCCAAAACTTCAGCCAACTGATTATTGTGTAGTGAGCTTCAGTAGGCAAGAACAGACCAGCATAGATACAACAGCATTTATTGACTCAAAACTGGAACTGTGGAACAACAGGAAAATCCCTGTAATTTATACTCTGGGCTCACAGGGCCTTAACCAATCACAATACTTGAAAAAGCCTGCCCAAATATGAATGTTCTAAGTTTNAGCCAATTTGAATGGAAAATAACCTCCCAGGGGAAAGTTACTCCTTATTTCTGAAGCTTGGAATTTTTTCCCCAGTAGTGACAGGTCTATCTTTGTCGGTATAAATTGTTGGTAAAATTTTAAGACCATGCAAGCATCGCTTAGAAAATTATGGGTTTGTACTTTTTTAATTTCTTTTTTAGGGCTGCCACCTACCGGTATTACAACAACAGGATATTTTTCCACCACCTCAACCTTCCCTGCTGAAACTACAGAGATAAGTTCAAATAGGTAAGTTTAGATATAGATAGAGCAAGTGACAGGAGTTGTCAGAACTTAAGGATATAAGGCAGGGGTTTAAAAACTTTTTACCACCACATCTCCCTAGAGTAGGGATGTCAAACTCGATTTCATTGAAGGCCGCATCAGGGTTTTGTTTGACCTCAGAGGGGTGGGTGGGCGTGGCCAGGGTAGGCGTGGCCAGCTCATCTTGTGGGGATGGGGGTGGCCCAAGCACTCTGCCAGTGAAAACGGGCTCCCAAGCTCTGTTGTTGCTGGCAGAGGCACTGCAGGGCGGTCCTTTACTGTTTCCAGGGCAGCCCCATGGGCCAGATCTAAGTACCCCACAGGATGGATATGGCCTCTAGGCCTTGAGTTTGACACCCCTGCCCGAGATGTAATCTGAAAGTACACACCTTCCCTAAAAATCCAAACACCAAAATAAACACAAATGAACAGTGAAAACCATTTAATGAAATCTAAGGAAAGATTGATTTACTATAACAATGTACAACTAAATGGTACTTTACACCTTCCCTGGACTCTGTCTCTATCTCCTCAAAAACGGGAGGGAAATTGGGAAAGCCGAATCTAAGGGTGTTAATCAGCGAGAAGCAGCAGGCGAGAGGCATGAGTGAGTTTCAGCACTTTTTACTGCAAGAGTAAGTGACTGCACTCTGCTGGCTGGGCTGCTGGAGCTCACCTTTTAAGGAGCTCTGGCAGACCAGCTAGCCAATGACAGTTGTTTAAACTTCCCGGGGTTTGGGCAACCAATTCCCAGTGAGCATGTGAAAACATGTAAATTTAACAATGTACATCCGTATGTAACAAAGGGCATATTTATTTGCTTAGATTTCAGATGCCCCTACCCTAAGCAGATGGCAACTGAACTTTAAGCTTTCTTTTAAAAATGCATTCGGGCCGATACACTTTCCGAAAAGCTTTCAAAATATTTAGCCCAGACAGCAGGTGGCTCTCATCTGTCAATGGAAAATTTCCTCTTCTGTTGACCCTCCCACCTTTCTGTTCCAAGAAAGCAGTGGCCAATCACTTTGCTTCTGGTGGCCAGATCACCCATACATCCTTTTGTATGTATGTAACATGCAGATATGTAGAAAAAGTAGGATCCTTGGTGGTCTCAGAGATTGGCTGTTTTCTTGCAGATGTTTCATTACCCAAACCCCATCAGTGCTGATGAACTTATCTAGTTTCAGGAATGAAACATCTGCAAGAAAACAACCAACTTCAGAGAGTGCTAAGGACCCTTCATTTCAACCTTGAGCTACAAATCAGGAATGAAATTCAGCAGGTTCTGACAGGTTCTGGAGAACCGATAGCGGAAATTTTGAGCAGTTCGGAGAACCAGCAAATACCACCTCTGGATGGCCCCAGAGTGGGGTGGGAATGGAGACTTTGCAGTATCCTTCCCCTGCCACGTCCACCAAGCTAGTTCTACCACAGAACTGGTAGTAAAAAAAATTGAATTTCACCACTGCTACAAATGTTCACCTCTATCTGTAAAATAAAGTATTTAAACAAAGTACAATTAAATTAAATATAGTGTTGATTTATATGCAGAAAGGTTTATACAGAAAGTCAATACACATAAATGCAAGTACAACAACTCTCCACAAAATTAATGATGGATTCTTAGCTGGATGTTTTAGAGTCAGTTTGATCTAGTGGTTAAGGCACCAGACCATGAGTTCAAGTCCCACCTTAGCCATGAAAGCCAGCTGGGTGACTGGGGGCAGTCACTCTCTCTTTCAGACCAACCTACCTCAGAGGTTTGTTGTTGTGGCAAAAATAGGAGGGAAAATGTTTCTGGTACATTCACCAGCTTAAGGTATTTATAAAAATAATAAAGGTGGAATGTAAATAATAAATAAATAAATAAATTTCCACTCTAAGCATTTCTAGATGCCAACTTTTTTTCAAAACTGCTAAAATAGCTCTGGGATTAAGGATTTTGGCTAGTAAGAGACTGGTGATTTCAAACCCAGCAAGAACATATAATATAAACACATATGATAATTTCATTTCTTCAGCTGGCTAGCTAGTTTTTCATAGCTAGCTGAGGGCTTTTTTTTAATTTAAAAAAAAGGATGTGAAAGTTTCCACCGGTCTCTCTTTTCCCTGGAGACTGAGGGAATGTTGCAACCTTCCACTGTTAACTAGAGAAAGATAGCTAGCTCCTGAAAGGGGAAAAATAGTAATTAAAAAGAATTCTCTGGGGTTTCATACTGGCAACCTCTTGCACGAGGCAAAAAGCTTTTAGCTACTGCATGGTTTTAGCAAAAGTGAAAAAGCTTTTAGATATGAAACAATTGCTCAAGTATTTCGGCCCCTGTGAGTTTCTTGGGGTTAGTGGAATCAAAATAGAGAACTCAAAGCAGCATAAGAGAAATAGATTATTTTTAAACTGTAGCAGGAAAACAAGAGTTCAATTTTGCAATGGCAGTGTGTGCTGTCTGCCCTCAGAAAATGGTGGCTGTCCTGCTCTAACATATAAGGCATGACCTCTGTTTGTGGTTTCTAACATGTTTGAGATGGAAACTGACCAAGGAGAGATTCAACCTAGAAATAAGGAGGAACTTTCTGACAGTGAGAACAATCAACCAATGGAACAGAAGTTGCCTTCAGAAGTTGTGGGAGCTTCATTACTTGAGACTCTCAAGAAGAGATTGGACTTCCATCTGTCAGAAATTGTGTAGGGTCTCCTNTCTCCCTTTATTTATTTATCAGCACAAATGCAACACACACACACACACACACACACACACATATTCAGCATCTTTGTAACTTCAAAACAGTCACTAAACAAACTGTTGTAAGTTGAGGACTACCTGACCTGTACTAAAATATCCTTTAAATATAGTATTACATCCTACAGCCGTGATGGTGAACCTATGGCACGTGTGCCAAAGGTGGCACCCACAGCCTTCTCTGTGGGCACGTGTGCCATCCCCAGCTACTCTTCTGTTTTTTAAAAAAATTAAAAAAACAGAAGGCAATTTCTGTTTTAGGCCTTTTTTGGCTGTTTTTTGAACTGTTTTCAGCCTTTTTTTCAGGCCTGGAAAACAGCCCGAAAATGGCATGAACAACAGCTTGAAAATGGCCTAAAACCGGCCTGAAAACAGCCCGAAAAACAACCTGAAAATGGCCTGAAAAATGGCCCCAAAATGGCCAAAAAACAGGCATCCATGCACAGGCCAGCGGGTCTTCGGGTTTCCGATGCTTCAATGCACACACATGCACACACATTCCGGTTTGGGCACTTGGTGCCAAAAAGATTCGGCATCTCTGTCCTACAGCCTACTAAATTCTACAAGTTGGTTTGGTCTTCTTTTTTCAGCTACCCAGTCTCAATATCAGGGATTTCTTTTGACTCAACCCATCAAAATGTCAAGATGAAGAGACCTAATTTGCCCAGACTTAAATGAAGCAGTCCTGCATGTTTATATTAAAATTAGCCCATGAAATAGCTGCCAAAACTGCTTTGCCGCTGATTTTAGCAGAATGCCATCCAATTTGGCAGTTCAGCATGGCCGTCAGATTTCAAAGAAATAATAGAAAAGAGCTCCAGGGATTAGTCTGCCTCACTCTGACTGATGGGGGACTCCTTTGCAAAAAATACAATCGGCAATTGTATTGCTGATTTCCCATTAAGTCCTTGGATTGATATGCTTAAATACCCTCCTACCTTCTCTGATAAAACCATAAGGAAAAGTTCTGAACATTAATTAAACCCAGCTTGATTTGACATCCAAGCCAAAATCAGTGGCTAATTTTAATTATGGTTTCCTCGAAACAAGCGAAGGTCAAGATCAAAGTATAGTTCGTGAATCTGGTTTAATTTAACAAATTGCAATGAATATTAATGATAGTCAATTTGATTTGTGAAATTATAAACTAGAATGACAATACTGTATCCTCCTTCTTTCTACCGCTGTATTGAAGGAGCTGAAGGAACACAATTAGGCTGATGTTACTTTCATTTGAATTGTATACACACACACACAGAGAGAGAGAGAGAGAGAGAGAAAGAATATTAAATTTCTATACTTATTTTGCTAATTTACATGATCTCCATATACCAAACAAACACTTTTTGATTTTTAGTCTTCCAACATACCTATCAATCAGTTGTTTTATTAATAGAGAATGAATCTACATGCCATTTCTTCATCAGAGGAAGTCAAGACTCCACAGAGTAAAACTAATGTTTCTATATGGGACAGAAATATTTAAAACACTTCTCTTCTTTGAAGTGGGATGTTGTTGTTGTTTTGGTTCCTTATACAGCAAAACCACTTTTTCCACCTGCACAGAGGATAATGGCTTGAATGGCTGCCTGATATTGGATGTTCCTCTTTTTCAGGTTTGGCATCTGTTATTAAAGGCCCTTCGATGTTGAACGCTTCACTTGGCGAGACGCTGTGTGTAAAGTGTCAATATCAAAAAAAATATTATAACTACAACAAGTACTGGTGCAGAGGCTCTAATTGGGGGAGCTGTACATACGTCGTTAAGACTGACGGGACTGAGAAAGAATGGAGAGATGGCAGAAATGTTATCAAGGACAATCAGACGGAATTTGAATTCACAGTGAGAATGGAGAACATCGCAAAGGAAGATGCTGGCATTTATTGGTGTGCCATAGGCAAATTCTGGGCTAGTGATCCCAAATGGAAAGTAAATATTACAGTTATTACAGTAACCATAGGTGAGTCTTTTTATCAAGTATTGTAAGAAGATGAAGGGAGGGGAATACATTGAATATTCATCTCAAGAAAGGTAACGAGTCCAGATGCTGAGAGACAATGGTGAAAGCCTCTCTAGGAGACTTGCATTAACTAACTCAGTATAACTCTTTCAAGTACATTTCCTGAATTAGGTGCAGGGATTTCTTTTCCCATGACCTTTTTTTTTCTTTTTTTCACCTGTGAATTTCACAGAGCAAGTGAAATGTTAGTTTGTCTTCCTTCCTTGCTTCCTTCCTTGCTTCCTTCCTTCCTTATTTATTATTCATGTATGCATGCATGCATGCATGTATGTATGTATGTATGTATGTATGTATGTATGTATG